ATACGATCGAAAAAGATGGTAAAATGTATCAGGTTTAAAACTGCATCAACAGTTTTTGTTCAATCTAGCAATCATATTTCGGTAGGGGCCATCGAAACCTAAACTCTAAGGTGGGCCAATAGATGTGTCCAGAAGTGTATAAGTCAGTAAGTGTGTTTATTACTGAATAAATAAAAAACAAGGTGCAAGGTTTGACCCCTTAGGTTTTTCTGCTGTGCTCAAGTAAATCCAAAATCCCCACTTTAGCTTCTCTACTGCAAGTGCCGTTCTATCACCATGAAATAGCATTATGGTCCAATAACAAGTACGTAAGTACGCGTTCAGTCTGGGATCGTGAAAGTTAAACAACTATCGCAATGGCCGGTCGTAGGATACCTGATCAAAAATTTACTGTCTCAATCTCCTCTGTGCTTCGGAACATACATTGAGCCGTTGGTTCTCACTGCATCTGCATTTATAATTACCCATCACAACGGACCTGGCTAGCGTGGTGAATTATTCGGAACATTTGAATCTGTTCATAATAGTGGGGAGCACAGGCTACATGAGTGGAGACATTAATAGGCTGATATGATGATGTTATCATTTAAAAATTAGGTAATCGAATTCGCAAATGCTACAATTTGAAATCCGCTCTTTTATAACGTAACATTAGAGGTTTATTCTTTCAAACCATAGGTAAAAAATAGTCCAATAAGAATATTCTTAAATCACTATACTCGTATTATACCCATACACTATTTCCATCACTACTGTAGCTGATATACAATACAATACAAAACACTTTATTGCACACCACAGAAAACATTACAATAAATACAGAGCCATTTAAATCAAGTGTTACAATGGGCGGCCTTATCGCTAAAATCGATCTCTTCCAGACAAACTTTGGATGGAGAAGATTAGAAGGAAATGGGAGAGACGGCGGCGTAAATTTCAATGTAATTTATTAATATATACATATACATACAAAAACAAGTACACATATATTTTATATTTATAAATGTATACATGTAAACATATATATACAAATACATACACAAATCTAGTCCAGTTGGTAGAAATTACAAAAGAGATTATAATACAACAATTTCACAAAGACAAATAATGGGACTTCACGAGATTCTTAAAAATGTGGATCGATTCCGCACGTGGTTTTGAAACTGGGAGAGAATTTCACAGCCGAACGGCTCAAACTGCAAATGAGTGACTGTAAAAAGTTGTACTGTGCACAGGAGTCATGAGGGTAAGATTTTGTCCTGTTATCATGTCTACATCTTTGTTTGCTTTTGCTCTCAACTCTCATAACGTTTAATTGTCTAGTTTAATCGCTTAGGTACCTGTACTTTTCATCCCAGTGATTAGTATTTCAGTGCCACCGTTACTTAATAATAAAGTGGAATAAACACAATGTAAATATGTGCTTGTTCATTGTTAGCAATTCCGATATCAAAGAGTGTACGAGAAAACCGTCACATGAAGCTGTTCAGTGTTACAATAATCCTGTTATTGGTACAAGTGATGTCTCTGTATCGTTATGGTACAGAGAAAAGCTTTTATAGCCAACACTGTAAGGTGCCGATGCCGTTTTATAAGAAGCATTTATAGGAGTACTTCGGGAGGATTATAGTCGATTCTCGGTCTGTTGATTGTTATTTTATAGCGTTTCTTACGAAAATGTATGCGATTTAGGTGTAACTTCTTTTTATTTAGTTGATCGTTTAAATTTTATGCTTCTACAAATTTTTATTTCTAATGCTTAATCTCCTGGATTCCAGTTTTTGTACTCAAAGTAACATTATTAGTTCTGATCTATTTTATAAGTCAGTGATATTAGACAGCTTGAATAACAGGATGTATACCGTTTGTTGTGTATTTACTTTAAAAATAAATATTTGACATACAAATAATACAACAGACGTGTTCTTTTGCTTGATATTATAGTATAAAGTGTCTTATTTAGATTCGATAACGGAAAACTTACGTGCGCGAGGCCGACTCGCATTTGGCTGGTTTTTTAAAGTAACTTCATAACTTTTTAACAGCAATTTTATATACGTTCAATTTCCAACGAACTTACTTTTATCCAAAAGGTCAGATATTTTTGAAGTGAAAACTTCTTTAGCGGCGTTGTACACTTTTTTGTATGGGTTAAATATTTTAACTCGCGTCAGGTTAAACACGTGGGCTGATCGCATCATGACACACTATAAAATTGGAAAGGTTGTTGACTTTTAATATATTGGACGAAACAGAGTAATCTTTTATTTTACCGTATTATAATAATAAGTCTCTATCTAGCAGGTCCACGTGGCAGCTTTATTGCGAAGAAAATGCATTTTTTTTTAAAATAGATGTCGCTAAGTGCGCTTAAACGTGATTCATGTAAATTGATTTTTCTGAGAGAAAAACTTTTTTAATGTAATATAAATTGTCATGTTTGTGTACGATAGCGCAATAAATAAATACTGTATTCTACCACATACATGATAGTAATTTTATACTGATAATTAAAGCAATTCGTGCAAAATTGTTCCCTAATCATTCCAAAATATCAAAAATGCACAACGTTAATATTCAAGTTTTCACATCTGCCGGCACTCCCGGAGTGCAACCCGACTTTTTTTTTCTTATTTAGACCAGGTAAGGTATTTAACTTCGTTTCTTCTGGTACTCAAAGAAATTTTTGGTTTTTATTCTTTAGATATACAAAGCTCTGTTAATAAATTATACATTTTTTATGCAAAAAGGCGACTTCTCGACTTGACCTTCGAGTTGAAATAAACTGCCCGGGTTAACATTTCGGGACTGGGACTCGAGTGTTTTATCGAGGGGAATAAGATTGATACGGTCCCGAAAGGGATCAAACTGGCAGGAATCTTAAAAAAGAAGTCATTCCTAAAAAGAGTCTCATTCACTAAATTAAGAAATATGTCGGTAAATCTTCATAAATGTCATCGAAGATTTTCTTTGAAATCAAAAGAAGGGATCGGTCAACAAGAGTGGATTATAATATTATAATAGCTAAGTGTGGGCGGCCAACTAATTTTTTATTTTTACATTAGTAGATAAATATAAGATAGAGACAAGGATGCAGCTGTTTTTTAGGGTTCTGTACCTCAAAAGGAAAAAACGGAACCCTTATAGTTACAGTTATTACCCTTATAGTAGTTATAGTAAGTATCAAACTGAAATTCATATCTAATACTCAGGTCTACTGTCCCTTGGAGCTGTGAAAAAAACAAAACAACTTCTAAGCCAAAGCAATCAAAAGATACAGCCGTTTATGCTGCAAATTTTCGAAACTCGCACGGGAATCAAAACCTACAGGGTACTTCCCGTGAACTTAGAATCTTGAAATTTGGTACGAAGTAACGTCTTATAGTACAGATAAAGGAATACTTGCGAAAACCATAAATTTTTAGAAACATCATATAATAAAAATATTTTTGAAAATTCAGGTTTGTACGGAACCCTCGGTGCGCGAGTCCGACTCGCACTTGGCCGGTTTTTTTGTCAATATAAACAAAACGATGCCCATAATAGTCACCGAACCACGCAATTAATAGTAAAATGTGGTATAAACTAAACATAACTTTAGGCTCGTTAAAGTTATTTTAATATCTCACGATGTTATTACCGCTAGTAATTATCGTAATAGGGCGGCTTTTAAATTATAGTGGACAGTTTGCGTGCCAAGAGTAAAATTTATAGTCAATGTAAAAATGCTTTTAACCGCCTATGATACAACTATACAAGCTCAATAGCTTAAAACAATGTTTCATGATTTATTTCAGCTTTAATAAAAAATATATAGAAAACATTATATTTTTAAACATTTCATTGCTAGATGTTTAAATCTAAAGAAAACAAGTATATAACATTTGCATCTTCCGCTCGAATAGCAGAAGATCTAGGTTTGAATCCCGTCTGAAACCTGGATCAAGTGAAATCTTCGCTAAACATATATGCTTTAGTTTTAAATATAAAGAAATTGTTTACTTACTTTAATCTCGTCATCATAAATGTAATTAAACAAAACCAAACAAAATCATAATTGAATATGTCTTTCCAATAAAAAAAAAATATTCTTCCAATACGACCTATAAGATATCGCGAGAGTGGGCAAAATAAACTGAAAGAATATCGTTTTGTCTTCCATTTTGTATGTCACTCCTTGGTTTATTCTTTGGTATATTGAATTGGGATTAGATCGCGAGCGAAGCTCAGTTTACGACCAACCTCTCAGATACGACCGCTGCGAATATCTCTGATAATATGCTTTAGTTCTCGCTGTGCCACTTCTAAGCTTTCAAGTAGCTATTGCATACCAACTTAAGTACAGGCTATTACATTAGCTACCAAATCTACTTACCTTAGTAAAGGTACTCGTATTATCTCTAATGAATCCTTTGGTAAATTGGTACTTAGAGTTCTAAGATACAAAAATGTAAGTACAGATTTAAAATCCTTTCTAGCAAAAAGCTCGTGACTTCATAAGTCAATATATTATTGTTTTATAATTATTCGAGTTTTTTCCACAGATGAGGGTAATATTTTTTGAGGGTATGCAGGTAGGGCCTGCCAAAGAAATCGACATATATGTATTACAGCCTTAACTGACAGATTTGGAGATACAAATTGTTATTAGATTTCTTGTGCTTGTGTGAGTGACACTAGGTAATTAAAAGGCTGAATTTATTTGCCAAAATAAAACATATTGAAAAAAAAAGGAAAAGAACCCGCAAGCGGTGTATCAAAGTGAAGGGTTTTAAATCACAATTCAGAAAATAGAGATATTTCAAGAAGGTAGACATTGTGGGAATGCGGGCATTATAAGAAAGCACACATTTTGGGAACAGCATATTTTAGGACTACATACTTCATACTTCTGAGGGCAATAATATATTCCTTCATTAATAATTACACACAAAAGCGGTTTAACTTTCACCAAGTTATATTACGATATAATTTATGTAGAATTTAATGGTTGGTTGCAGGTCGGCAGAGGGGCTCCTGTGAACATGACCTAGTGCCCCATGTCATCACTTCTGACGCCACATAACTGCTCGCCGACCTGACACGCACACCGTACACAAGTAAGTGAGTTGGCCTGCTTAAATATCAGCCTTCATAGTTTTAAAAATGGCTGTATATTTATTCGTCTGTATGGAATAGTTCAATGTTTTACTTAACAATTACTAAAATATAGGACTATGACATGTTCTCTCCCTCCTACAACTCGGGATTCTATAGAAGAAGCGTAAAGAAACACCTTGCAAGCCAGCTGGTTGAGAACGGCCGGTGTAGCAGTAAAACATCTGCATCAGTTATCTTTGCGTCTGGACTCCACCGTCACTTAACATCAGATGTGGTGGAGTCATCTTTTTGTCGGTTTTCATATTTTAAACTACACATACTGTAACTGCTTTCAGTCGATTGCGACTGCACTGCCTAATAGTAGAAAACCAGAAGATTCGTATAGGTTTTTTTTGTGAGATTACTTCCGAACGCCCTGAATGAAACAAACGAAAGATTAGATAAAATAATGCAGTATCAATCGAGTTGTTTGTTTCAGCGGATGATGAAACTTTGTATGATAGCATGGAACCCATTAAGCCTATGCACAACACGTTTTTTAAGCACGCCGTTGACGTGCATTTGCAGCGATACAGACTCGATGCTAACGCGCGTGCGTATCGATACGAACGACAACAAACTGCTTCGTAGGAGAAAAGTCCGCCGTCGATGCCATTTCTAAAACATGCATCGAAGACACGGTGCGTTTAAAAAACGTGGTGTGCATTGATACAGACGAATACAAACGTGATGCTTACGCGCGTGAGTATCGTACCTACGACCGACAACAAACTGCTCTGTAGGATTAAAGCGCGAGTGCGTTTAAAAATGTAGTTAATTTACACAAACCCTTTGCGCTTAATGTGCTTCAGGAACATACAGACTGAGAGTTTGGTCCAGTTTCATTATGTTGTGGTATAATGATAATCGAAGTATCAGTTACATACTAAAAATAGTATTGAGCTTAAAGTAATACAGCGGAACTAACCAGAGGGCTAATTTATCTATTTCCGCAGCCCTCTTTAAATCTACAGAACGAACCTTAACGAAATGTGTCAATATTTCATAACAATCTTTTAACCAACCAAAAACCAAAAGCGATTAAGGAAATAAAGAAAAATAGTAACACAATTAGGCCCCTGAAACACTTAACTATATCGTTACACATTATAGAGCATTTAACCTGAAATCAATGCGTCTCATATAAAATGCATAGGATTCCTCGACTGATAAATTATTTACTAGGAGGCAATCAACTTGAACTATTACAATCGCTGTTGTTCGTTATCTATCACATATCTATTTGTTTGTTACCACCTATTGTCGACTATTGGTAAGTAAAGGATAATTTAGAATCATTATTGTAATTTTGATATACTTGCAGCTAAATTGAGATCGATAAGTTTATATTGTACTTGAATAATTCTCTCATACCTTTATTTTTGATAGACATATAAAATATTAAATGTGAGTATAGTAATGAATGTTAATTCTATCTCTAAACATTAATTACGGAACGGAATTATTTGAAAAATAAGTGATATGTAGATATTAAAGGTTAGAGTCAAAATAAATTTAATAAAGTAAAGCTAATAGAATATTTTTTTATAGTAATAAAATTAAATTGGCATAGAGGTAATATTTTTTAAGAAAAGATTATAAAATTGAATAAACCTTTCGAATGGAGAAAAATATTCACAAGTTTGATTTTAAATTATATTTTTTTATGTGAATTCCATAATTGGGTCTTGTCGACTATAAGAAATAAAAAGCATCAAAATGCTTAAACTTTATTGCGCATATAATAATGAAAGGCAATTAATGGATGATTTCGGAATAGCAATTTACTAAGAAATGATCTACGCTAATTATTGGATGGCTATAGGGTGCGGCGTGCGAAGTATCAAGGAGCGTTCACACTACGCCTTTCTGTTGCGATATATACAATATAGCGCGTATAGCACGCCCATAAAACATAGTAAGCGTGCTTGCAGTACTTCTTCTCGCGCGTCTCAGGCGCCGCGGCGTGCGGGGAATCCGGTGTTGACCTTGGTCATTGCGGAGGTAGCGGGTGCGCACCCTGCCTCATGCAGGGCTGCTGTAGGGTCCGTTTCCCCCCTCTCTACGTCTTCAAACACCGCCCTCAGCGCGGTCAAGCCCAACGGGTGAAACCCATGAGGGAGGGCCAGTGAGCGACCTTTTTTTATGTCTGGTAAATGCCTTACGCATCCTTCAATTGGGGGAGCGAGAAGAAAGTATGTGGGACTCCTCCCTGTCCCCTTCAGCCAGGCCTGGAGCTCGCTGATGTGAACAGGGCCACTAAAAACCAGACAATACTCTTGCACCGTCACCCGAGACGCACTATGAGGACCGCGGTCCCCCTAGTGCGTGCCGAGAGGGCGGGTGTGGTTGCGGAACCCGTCTCCGAATGGCCGCGCGGCCCAGTCAGCGACCTGCGAGCAGGCGGTGGACTTATCGTGAGGCCAGTCTGGTTTGAGTGGTGTGATTCTTGGTTGGTAGATTGATGTCGTCTAACTCATTCTATGTAAGTAAATGTATGGTACGCCACTTTGTGCTATGAGCTGTGAATAAAGAATAGCGGTACCCCTGTTTACCTTTTACACGCATAATATTTCTGCCATATTGTCTGGTTCATGTCCATCTGTATGGGCATAATAGTACATTACGTCAATGGTATGGACATGAAAAAATACGGCACAGATTTTTTTTTGAATAAGTGAAAATTATTGTAGTTATACTGGTCGATAATCATTGACTTTGCTAAGGCAACGGTTTGCATATAGGTTTTCGGACATATCTATCGGCCCACCTAGCATTTTAAGTTTTGGTGGTCCTTAGATAAAAAAAATGTTACACTGAGCAAAAAGTTACGACCTACGCAGTTTTAAAGCTGATTTAATTATATTAACCACCTTTTCGTGTGTGTTTAAAATTATTGTTCAACCTCAAACATATATTTTTGCTATAGACCGTTGAAAATTATAAGCCAAAGTGGGCATAGATGTGTCCGGAAATATAACATTAATACTTTGGCATCTTAAACTGTAAATCCTATAATCGTTTGGACAATGATACGCTTTGAGGACACTGAAAATACTAGGTAATATAAAAAAAAATAGTAACACAAACCCAGTCAATGAATCATGCCTCTTTTGAGTTTGACACGTTCAATGTTTTTAGCCAATTTAGAATAAAATTTCTAACTATTATAGTCCATAGCATTTTGAGAACGCATTCGCTTACCAACTTGGCTGAGCTTAGCTCGTTCGTTAGTCTCGCTTGGTTATTTCATTTCGCTCCCAATGCCAGTGTGGTCTACGTTTTATTTAATAATCTACGCAGGCAAGCGCCCGACCCTTTCTTTTTTCCCTTTTTTTTAGTCCTGCACATAAAATACCATATTGTATAACGTAATTATTACAATTATTTAAATACAGCCTTACTTTATGCGTCTCTGCTTTCTGGGTAACCTCATTAATTTATGGATGAGGCCACAGTATTCAGAGTAACGACCAATTCTATTTTAGGGATACACGGAATGAAATTGGGCATTTGTATATTCGCTGGGCACGAACATGTTAAGCATATCAATTTCGTATACGCCGAGGTTTTACATAATTATTGGTAGGTTGGTATATCTTATATATAAAATTCTCGTGTCACAATGTTACTCGTAGCTCCCATACTCCTCCGAAACGGCCTCCGAAATTTCAATAAAAATCGGTCAGATTTTTATGAAATTTTATATGCATATTCCGAGGGTCTGAGAATCGGCTACTATCTATTTTTTATATCCTTATGTGATAATGGTTAACGTAACGTAGTGTTCTGAAACCTACAATACGCCTTCGCGCCAAAATTCAAACTATTGGGTATTGTGACGTAGTGTTCTCATATGGGTTAGGAGGAATGTTATTTTGGACATTTTTTTTATAATGTGGTATGAAAAAATACATACAATCCTAAATTTTCTCTTCTACCACCTGACCCTATTTTTATGGCGGTACGATATTCGCTGGGTCAGCTAGTAGAGATTTAAGAGAGGTATGTCACCGCTCGTTGTAACGCCCGTCTACAGAAGCAATCTCCACAGAGGACCACAGTATAATAATACTAGCTTTTGATGGTGTTGTGTTTCTGTTGATGAGTAGGGTTCCAGGGCTCCTCGGAAAAGGGGATTGAGTTCGGGCCGGCAAGATGAAGATGGCTGGAGCGGCACACCTTCTGCCGCATCTATCTTCGCGACTGGGCTCCACTTACACTTAACATCAGGTGGAATGGCGTAATTTGTGACGCCTCGTATAAAAAAATGGGTGCGTGTACTTATGTAGGCGCGTGAGAAGTTATCCTTCTTTGGCATCGTTTAAAATTAGTTTTTAATTGCATGCAAATAATTAATTACAATTAATTAATAAAAAGTCTGGAAAAGGACACAGTCAATAAAGTTCAGTTTTAATTTGAAAAAATAAATAAATAATCAAAATATTCAATTAAAATCGCTACTGAATATAATTTATTAGAACATATGTGATTTGCACTTGTATGAAACTCAAACACGTATTCCGAATATACAAACTAGAAACATGTGGATAAATATTATAAATATGAATACCTATAACTGTTACTTTATTACAAAAAATAAAGATGTGGTTTTTGGTTCTACTACACCAATGGTCAAGAGATGGCGCTGTAGTCTCCTGAATCGCGCTTTGGTTCCGTTGTTCCAGATTAATAAATACTTTTGATATTATAAATATGAATACCTATAACTGTTACTTTATTACAAAAAATAAAGATGTGGTTTTTGGTTCTACTACACCAATGGTCAAGAGATGGCGCTGTAGTCTCCTGAATCGCGCTTTGGTTCCGTTGTTCCAGATTATTAAAATATAAAAATATAAAATTCATTTATTTCGAGCAACATAACTCATAATCATAATAATAATGCATAATCAATTATTGTAGAAATAGGCACATGTCACTTAAAATACACCTAATC